ATTGACTTCGGGTTTGCGCGAAAAGTTTTCTTTTTTTATGCTCTTTCGAACGAGCTATCACAAAGGGGGTCTTCCTATTTGAAAATTAAAAGTTGGGGTCCATTGCCCCCCCAAGGGGGGCCCCCCTGAAAATTTTAGGGGGGCCAAAAAGTAGCTCCCTTTGACCTAGGAACATCCCCCAAGTCTCAAATCTTTATCTCAATTAGGTAAAAAGTTAGAGGGGGTGGAAGGGACTTTTGGATCACCCTGTAAACACTCGTTACTTAATTTCCTTTTACACAATTTCAGCAGGTTTAAAGTATTTGACTGTGCGTCACAAGAAAATAAATACTTGCTAGGATTTTTTACATCACTTTTGAACCATGTCCGGTTTTCCAGCGACCAAGAAAAACTTCTCTCGAGCGCGGTAAATTAAAAAAAGAACGTAATACGCTAATTTTGCATTGAGGAGGAGAGTTGAGACATTTCGGACGTAATCAACGTGATTATTATTATGGTGCGATTTTCCTCTTAAAAACGGTCTCGGTTGTATTTCTCAAGTGCAGCTGACTCATTCGCGTTTAAGTCGTGAAATGAGAAATGTTGAAAACAAAAGAATCGGCTCACCTTTGGTCATGGAGCGTATAACAGTATAAAAAGTGAAAAAGTTATAAAATCCATCCTCCAATTTCAAAGCCGTTGTACTACCACCACTCGTTGGCATTAGGAGCTCCAGAAGTTCCGTCTCGGTTAAGCCGAACTCCGAAATAGTTAAAAACGAACAGAGCCGTGCCATCGCTACTCTGCTGTACTTCTTCTCCAGCTCCTCTAGTTTCAGTTCTATTTCTCTCTCTAAATTAGCTGGAACAAGAAAATAAGAAGGGATTGTTATAAGTAAAAAAAAAAAAAAAAATCCCCAAAAAATTAGTAAAAGAAATAAACCGACGAGGACTAATGTAGGTTTGAAAATCTGCCTAATTTTGGCGATCCTGCCTTCTGTACTTTTGGGCGCTTCTGGGTACCAGATGCGCCCTTTCCAGCCGTTCGACTCCCCCGATGTAACATGTACTATACTACAAACCGTTTTGCCTTATGGGTAATGACGCCATTCTGGTACACCCGGGAAAATTTGATTTTTTTCGGCATCTGGTATTCGTAAAAGTTTTCGTGAAATGTTTTGCTTTTAAGCATAACAATCTCGCACGGACGTATTACCTGGTTAAACTATTTTGGGGCTTCGTTATGCTTAAATGCCTCATATTCGAGGTTGTAGTTTCAGATTGATTCGAAAAAATCACGAACAGTCACGTGATCTCTTCATTTTAGTGACGTATTACTGTGCTATTTTGTGATTGGTTCATTTTCTCGGCGCAGCATCGTCAAGCGTCAGCTGTTTGCGGCTCTGGGTTGAAGGTTTAAGGTTATGTCAGAGAGAATAGAAAGTTAGAGGCCCGACTCGATGCTAGGTAATTGAAACAGATGCGCTCGCAGCGCGCTCGCTGGCAACGCACGCAACTACTATTTTCTATTGTTTTCCAGAGACTAGCGGCGGGTATGTTGCTGCCGGACCACCTTCACGTAGGCAATTTGTTATACATCGTCCGTCCGCAATACTCTCGCTTGGCCGTATGAAAACGTTCCTCGCATGCGCAGTGTTATAGAAGCGCCCTCCAACGCTTTGGCGTTGGAACTGCTTGTTTCTTTTTTTCCCCTGTTGATTTAACGGTTTAAAATCTACTCCGCTAAGAAAATACGGCCAATTCTATTCTATCGAGTTAGTTTATAGATGCGAGTTTGTTACAACTTAAGTTTATAACTTCTAAATGCAACTAAGGTTTGTAACCTCTAAAAGTTATTCTTCTGGAACATCAAAGGATCGGCACACGGGATACTGCAGATTCGTCTGTTATTTCCGTGAAAATGTTTCGCCACCATCAGGATTCGAACCCGGGACCTATTGATCCAAAGTTAGGCAGCAACAAAAACTGCCATGCTGAGGAAGAACGCCCTACGAACATTGGAGTTTTGTCCAATTTTTCTGGGTAAAACTTGTATGTCGAGGAAAGTCATGCCTATTTTTCGTCGAAGTTTTCGGGTATTTTCGATAAAATTTCGAAAAAATTATTTGAGAAATTTGAAGACGAATGTTCACTCTTTACTTTTTAAATTAGTTTTTCATTCAGGGAAATTTGGCAACGTCTGGAAGCTCGTACGGCGCTCTTTCTTAGCACGGTAGACTAAAGCAACTTGCCCAGCGGGCAAATTATTGGAATTGTTAGACAAAACTATAGCCAAGAAGATAAGAGAGATATGGAGGGATCCTATTGGTGAAAGTGGGTGGTTGCAATGGATAAAGGTGGTAGGTAATAGACTAACTAACGGCAATCCGCTAGAGACCCTATAGTAAGTCCATCATCTTCTCCCTCAGTTTATAAGAACCATCCATTTCAACTAATTGGATCACTCCCTTTCTCTACACTGAAAAAAAATGGTAGAGTTTTCCATTCCTTCACGCTGTATTTCATACACAGCGTCAATTCAGAGCCAAGAAAGAAACGCCTTCTGCCAGAAGAAAGGTAAACGTTACTAAATAATGGTAGACAGGTAACCATTCCTCGGGCAGAATCGACTTTGAATTCACGCTGTGTAAAATACAGCGTGAAGGAACGGTAAATTCTACCAATCTTTTTTTTTTCAGTGTAATTTCCATAATCAGCCGGCGGCTCACTCTCTACACTGCCGTGCTAAGGAAGAACGCCGTACAAAAATCGAGAGTTGCCAAATTTCCTTCGATAAAAAGTTCATTTTGAGGAAAGTTAGGAATATTTTTCCTTGAAATTTTCAGAATCTTTAGGTAAAATTGTGAACTAAATAATCTGAAAAATTGGGAGGAAAATATTCATAAATTTCACTGGTAAAACAAACCTCGTGGACCAATCCCGCGGTGCATTGACTTAAGAGCGCAGTTTTTTGTCGCCGGATTTAAGAGTCTTGAACTCTTGTTTCAAGCGGATTTTGCATTGAAACAAAGAGTCCAGACTCTTAAATCCGGCGACAAAAAACTGCGCTCTTGAACCAAGAGGTTTTTTTTACCAGTGTTACGAGGAAATTCGCGTTTTATGAAAGGAAATTTGGCAACGCCTGAGGGTTCACACGGCGTTTCTCCTTAGCATGGCAGTACATGTATTGAACTTTCGTTTCGTCGTCTACTTACATTCATTACATGGGAGCTCGATGAGGCACTCGGCCGACTTGAAGCGCTCCCTCTGGACGGGCGTCATCTTGAGCACATCCGGCGCGTAGAGAGACGTGGCGATAAGGTGAACATTCTTAGGGAGAACGATAGGTAACCAAGACAAGGCAGCCACGATATCCGAGTCCAAAGGGTTGAGCCGGTGCAGGTCATCGATGAGGATGATAAGCGTGCTGCTCGGGGCCTCCTCCTCGAAACGGCGCACCAGGGTCTGGAACCAGTTGTTGATGTAGAGGGGGTCGAAGGAGGCGTCAAGCGGGACGCATAGCCCCATCGGCTGAAGGAGCAGGTTCATCTGCTCGCAGATGATGCGGAGGAGCTCCAGGTTGTAGGAGGAGCGTGGGGTGGTCCCGGCGAAGCGGAGGATCTTCATGGCCTTCTTCCCGAGCCAAGCCTCGCAGTTGAGGTAGACGTTCATGAGCAGGGAGGTCTTCCCGGAGCCGTGGTTGCCCTGCACGATGATCGGGGTGTGCTTCGGGGCCGGCGACGCGAGCATCTCGCGGATCGTCGCCAGAGCCGCCTCGTTCTTGAGCTTCTCGCAGAAGGGCACTAGTTTATTGCAGAAGGAGAGGTGGATCAGGCATTCCTTGAGCACCTCCTGCCAGGGACAAAGAAGGGATTAGCGATTCAGCGACACAGCAGAATTATGATAGCGAAGGACCGTTTCGATGGCTAAAGTTAGAGTGCCTATATAGGGAAAGTATGGACTTTTCGAAAATTTTGAGGTTAGGTGATGGAGCTCTTAGACCCCAAAAGGGTAGGCAATCTATGAATTCAAATTATCCAGAGTGATTTATAATCACATTTGTTGGGAACTGTTGTTGGTAAAGCACGTATTTGACTTGGTTTTTGCATAAACTTACTTATTATTGCGGAAGAATGCTTACTTATGAATTTTCTTGTCCATTTTCGTTTGATTTTGGAGTCTAAAGATTGACAGTGACATTCTTCGTTTTCAAAGGTTACCTACCCTTTTGGGCCCTAAGAGCTGCATATTTCGAGTTGTCCATACTCTCCCCACATAGGTACTCTAGCTAGAGTGCGAAACCACGTATCACAACATTGATAACAGCATTGTTCTTGCTTTGAAAGGAATAGCCAAGCACTACGTTTTTAGATTTGTACAGTTTTTCACTGTTTTATCCAACTAAGGAAAGCTGGGTTTTCAGTCCGAACGTTATGGACTCCGCGAGTTTAAACATTAGAGCCTAACACAGCACAGAGCGAAGCAGCGTGCTGCCGGCGCGATACGCGCACTGGCGCCTACAAACCTAACAGGGATACTTCTCGCATTGCGCAATGCGTGAAGTATCCCTGTTAGGTTTGTAGGCGCTGGCCTGGCGCCCGCTGCGCAATGCGTGAAGTATCCCTGTTAGGTTTGTAGGCGCTGGCCGGGTGCCCGCTGCGCCACAGCGTGCTACAGCGACTCAAGCAGCTATTTCACAACAGAGGTGTGTTGCACAGGGTCATACAAAATTGAAGGAGCTCTAACATATTAAGAATGGCAGGCATCCTTAAAGAGTACGGAGCTTTCCGTACAAAATAAATCAATATACTGCGGCACAAAAAGAGAGCGGTAGTTCAAGAACTCACTAAGTTCTAGCATACGTATTTAATTGCGTTTAGTATAATTTTTGAATTCCATTAGAGGAAAAAGTGACTCGATTTAGGCAGGAACATCCTAGAGTATGTCGTCAAGAAGATTTTTATTTGAATGAAGAATAAAATCGCTGAACGAAAGCGGGTTTCTGTTTGATGTAAGTGACTTTTCTTTTTATAGAAGCATCTTTGCTGCTTTAAACAAGTATTATTTTCTTTATTGATATATAAGGAAACTGTATCGGCGGTAAATTTGAGCATATTTCTGCTCGAATCAAGGCAATTTTTCCTTTAATGAAATTCAAAAATCATTCTAAACGTCACTGAATACGGATACTAGGACTTAGTAAGTTTTCGACTACGGCTCTCTTTTTGTTCTCGTCACTCAATTTAATTTGGGAGGGAACTTCGTGCTTTTGATGTCATCAATCATGATACGTTGAGATGCCTTGAATCTCGTATGATACTATGCAACACCTCCGTGGCGAAATAGTAGCTTGAAGCGGCGCGACACGCCGGCGCCGTCGCAGAGTTGTGTACACAACAACAATTTAAGAGCTTTTAACCTAGGTAAATCAAAATGCTCGTCCACTTCAGGTATAACAAGATGGGATTTTCTTGAAAAATAATTAAGTCCTGTTGCGCCAAAAAGGTGTATAGTTTTAACGAATTGTCCCTCGTGGAATTGACGCTCCCTCATTTTTACCAAAAATCTCAATCATACATTTTTCTCCGTTGGAGCACAAACAAAAAATAAAAAACAAGCAAACCCTTATTCTTTCAAGACATTATGCATCTTTATCCAAAAACATTGTGAGCAATTGTCGTCTGTATTTGCATGTGGGCCAATTTACTTTGGGTCTCAACTGGTACGTGGGCCAAAATTCCCTTTCCGAAAAAATGCGTGGCCTTAAACTGCTCGAAAAAGCTGGTGCGCGGACAAAACAGCGTTGACGAAATGTCTTATAATCCTCTTTCTTAAATATTACAGGTAAATTGCGTGAAAAAAGCCGGGTAATGCCACACGGCAAAAGTGTGTTTTACATTTAATAATAGCAGAAATTTTCAAACACCACGAACAAGAAACCTGTTTTCTTAATTTCATTGTCAATATTTATTTCCTTATACCTTTTGCTAGAGAAAATTAATGTGCTATTATTAAAAATTCCTGCGATCCTTCTCTCCCTCCTGAAAAAAGAGGGTGAGTTTCATTCACGAAGGATGGGAATACCGCCGTCCGTAGAGAGGACGTCGTGATCTCATCGAAGATTTTTCAATTTTTCCTTCGGAAAAATACAAATCATAAAAAAACGAGCAGGAATAATATAACCATTTATATTTTCGAGACGATTTAATTACCAAGAACACGCTCATAATCACAATGAAACTGGATGGTTAGCAGAAATCTTTCAAATGCGTGATTTTGTTTAAAAAAATCTATAAAACTTGAGAAAAAGAACGACGCACTTGCTTTGCTTAACAGAACAGAAACGGGCCCATTCCGTTGCAGTGGCGTGGCGTGAATTGCAATGTATCGATTGTTATGCCATTTAAACCTGTGGAACAGGATCCATAAACAGGGTGTTCGCAGCGAACACCTTAATAATCGATTCTTTACCATACGTTTAAATGGCATAATAATCGATACATCGCAATTCACGGCACACCACTGTTCCGTTAGTATCTTTACCACCAGACATAAAATGCTCAAACGTCGATGATATACAGCGCCTTCATACAACTTTCGTGCTTGAGTGATATTTGTGTGGCATGCACACAATTTGAAGGCGCACTGACATCTCTTTCGAGCATAAATGGAAGGCACAATGGAGATGAGCATACCTTAATTTACTATCAATGCATTGGGTATATTAATGGTTTTAATCAGAACAAAAACGGTTGGTATAATTCGTGTGAATTCACACGAAAAATGAAACTTAGAATAATAAGTGAAAAAGCTTTTTTCCCCTCGTTTCTTTAAATTCTCAAAACCTTATGGTTGTTTGAGAATCTCGAAAATGTTGAATTATACAATTTTCATTGGTTCAAGTCCCATATTTAATTACCTGAATTGCTTTATTGCGAGCGTTCAGCTCTGGTTTGAGCTCAATACTTTGATTGATGAAATGTTGCAATCTCAACATTACATTTTCTTGAAATTCAGTCAAATAAGTATCGTGTTCTGAACAGTCAGGGTCAATGTTCCCGTTCATCCAAGGTACTCTGAGAAAAGAAAGAAAGAATTAAAAATTCTTACGAAAGAGGTTTGATCCATTTTTAGATTTTGAGCAATGTTATCATTGTATTTTTACAGTTGTTCTAAAGCAGAGGTTAAAAATGTATTACACACAAACATATTTTCTTGTGAGTTCCCATTAAGTTCACTTTGAAAAAAGCACATTAATTGACCATTAGCTGCAAATTGTGTAACACATTCAAATCAATAAAATATCATTTTACGATATACTGATAAATCTTTAGGAATTTTATTAATACTTACTTGATTGTCATTTGATTTTCTTGAGGAATGGCACTTGAAATAAAAGTTTTAAACTTATCTAGACGATCTTTTTCGTAAGAAGGTTTATCAGGTGGTCTTCCGTCGAATTCTCTGATTATAGATAACATGTGTTCCTTATCTAAACCTACAAAAAAATAAATAAATAAATAAATAAAAAAAAAAAAAAAAAACAGAAAAGATCAGCGAGATTGTTCAGACCTGGGAATTGCAAATAGTGTGATTTCTTGACAATTTTTTTTAAAATATAACAAGACCATGCACATGCCCAAATTAATTAATCATGACAAAATATACTTTGTCTATTTTCTTATACCATCATGTTTTTGCATGTATATTAGTTCTTGATTATTGATTTTTCTTATAATTATTTATATAGCAATCATTGTCAAATACAAATGGCATGAACATTGAGGAATATTGTTACTCGAGTTTATTAAACGAGTATAAAGAGCTGTTTAACGTACAAAAGATCGTAGGCCGTCCAAAGATGATCGGAAAATTTGCGATTAATATTATAATTTTGAAGGCTTCTGAAACTTAAAGTTCTCGAATACTGAAAAATAAAGTATTAGTTTCAGGAGTGTACAAAGGTCTTACCTAAGGCTTCATAAAAATGATGCTCTACAGCTGATCGTGTGAGCTGTGGATTGATATTCGACTTAATTTTTTCTAATTCTATCGCAGCATTTCTAAGTATTCTATTGATTTCTCTTACTTGATGTGATTCTCTGAAAAAAAGCATTTTGTGATCAATTGGACGTATTTGTACTATAAAAGAAACTAGGTGGAACTGAAGTAAATAATCACTATGCACATGAGGTTTGCATGCTTAAAAATTCCTGTCCATTCAATTTAATTAAACATCATATTTATCAAATACTTGTTCAAAATTCCCCCAAAACAGACTCATTTTCAATTTGCGGCTAGCAAACAAACTGAAAAATGCAGGAGAGCAACAAGAAAGGTTAATATTTTAACGATTTTTTGCGCGATTTTAACGTTTCACTGCAATTCACAAAACAATCGCATACAAATAGACTGACTTTTATCATTTTTATGCCTTTGAAATTATTCCACGTACCTACACATACCACAAGAATTAAACTAGTTCAGGCATTCCGAGATTCGAATAGATGTCTTAGATTCGAAGATTTTGCGTGTTGCTGACATTTATTGTTTCAATAAACTTCGTTATCCGATTGAAAAGAAGATTTTTCTCTGTGGTAGGAGAAAAACTCTTTTATAAAACCGCCTTTTATAAGAATCCTTATCAAACATCGGAAATTGATATTACCCACAAGTATCCGTCCTAAAGGTGCCTCCCTCTTCTCGATGCCATAAACAGTCACAGCAGTGGCGTGGCGTGAATTGCGATATATCGATCGTTATGCCATTTAAACCTATGAAAAAAGATCGATAATCAGGGTGTTCACAGCGAACACCTTAGTAATTGATTCTTTACCATAGCTTCAAATGGCGAGATATCGATAATCGATTATTCACGCCACGCCACTGTGTCACAGATCCGATAAAAAAAAGATGGAGCACTCCGAGGAGGCATAATGGCTTTTTACGACTAATTCGAAGCTCTTTGCAAGTTGCTCACCGTGTACAAGAACCGTAAATCATTTTATCCCTGCGCTCTGAGTGCAACAAGCAGGCAAGCTGTCGCAAGAGCATCAAACTGTTATGGCTTTTACAGTGTGCATATTTTTACGAGCAGAACCGAGTTTTGAAACAAAGTCGTCAACTTTTGCTCGCAGACTTTTATAGTTTCTGCTCCCGCCGAATTGAGATTTAAGAGGCTCCCGGTTCATTCGTCGCTCTCCTGACAAAATAACGTAACTACACTTCGCTATGAGCCATTTAGTCAATACTTTCCCTGGCTCATCTCTAAGTGTAGTTACGACTTTATGTTAGCCAAGCGACGCATTGTGACATCATGCGCTTGCAATATAAATTGATTTTCCAGAGCGCCGCTTTTACCTCTATCTTGCACTAGATATCAGTCCAGTTAAGGGTATCATGTGCCATGGAATCAGGCAAACAGCCATTGAAGTGGGAAAATGTAAAATGAAATACGTAGATTAAAGCTCGAAAGGGTTAATTCCTCATTTTTGGTACAGTAACAAAGAAAAAGTGTAAGTAAAAAGTTTAAAAAAAAAACAATTTTTTTAACTTACTTGCGACGACATTTTTCAACTTTTTTCGACTTTCCTTCTTTTTTCTTCGACTTTTTTTGGAAAAAGTCGTCGCAAGTGAGTGAAAAATGGTTTTTTTTTAAACTTTCTACTTACGTGAAAACTTGCGCGGTAATTAGCTCCCTCATTTTATATAAATAAAAAGTGGTTCTTGGATAGGTCAATAGCTCTTAGAAATAAACGCCATTGAAGTTTGCAAGTACTGTTTGCTATCTATAGGGATAATTCATTTTATACGCTCATGACATCATTGATGATAATGCATCCTTACTATGGCTTTAAATGCTATATTGAGAGTGAAGACTATAGAAAGTGTTTAGCATAAGAAATAAAAATCTATTTGACCACAAATTGGTTGTTTCTCTGTGCTGAAAAAAATCGTTTTTTAGCCGAAAGTACTTGGGAGGCCTTCATCGGTTAAAGTTCACCTAATTCTTGGAAATTTCATCCTGCTTTTGCCTGCAGTGGTGTTTAAAAAATAGACTACTGATACTGACAAGTTTAAGCGTGTACTTACATTGATGAGTTCAATTTGTACTGTTTCAGCTCCGAACTGAAGTCGTAATGATGATCTAAAGCGTCTGTGCATAAATTTAAGTTTTGAGCGGTGTTTCTTATTTGTATAAAATGCGACTCGTGCAATGTTACCGGAGGTGGACAATCTTTCCATTCATTTCCTACTAAACTCTTTAAAAACAAAAACAAAATCAATAAATTAATTAAAAATGCTTGAAAAAAATTTTTGAACCTTGGATTGGGTTATTTTGAGTCCTCTCGACAAAACCTGGGCTTACATCACGCGTAGAATTGTGTTCTATGCAAGTATGCTTAAAAATATCCCTGGACTTTTGACAGATTCATTGAGCAAAATGCTTTGAGCAAAGGTCAAAATTTTGAAAAGTTCCCTATAGGTGCTTTCACCTTAACAGCGCCACCTACGGTGGCACTCTTTACTAATGCACTCGCACGTTAGTAAAATACAACTACAGTAATTTTCTTCCTAAGATATTATCTAATATTGGCACACGTCAATGCAAATCGCAAGTTGAGTACAATGTTCTTTAATATTTGTACCTTATCTCGCTTATGACACCCTAGGATTTTCACTCCATGCTTTGTGAGTATTTAAGCATCAATCTGACAAAACCTATGTATTCAATTTTAGAAGGGTTTTGCCGAGAGAAACCTAAGAAGTCAGTAAAATTTTACCAACCAGTAACGATTGGTTACATTTTGTAAGAAAACCATATCTTGGGAAATTTGCAGTGTCACAAATCGAGACGGTGATTTTAAATTGTCCTGTCGTTACGCACGTGTAAGTATGCATTTCCATCTCTGTATTTTGGCCTGAAATTCGTTTACATGGAGCCTGGGATCACAGCGAAAAACTCTCTTTCTAGCGAACTGACAGTTTCATAGCTGTGCTTTCTTTCGTTTCTTATTTCCTCGTTTCTCAACCGAGGCATAAGGAAAGCTAATTTCAGTCACCCGTGCCTCTGAGGTGCTTTCATTTCTTTTCCATCCGAATTTCAACTCCTTGAGTTTATATTCATATATGAAGTTTTCCTCGGTTCCGACGGCGCGCATTTCAATATCCGAGAGGGAGGACGACTCTTTCAAGTTCATCGTTGGGGAGCTGACATTCTCGCTGATTCAGGAAGACGAATTCTTGTTCAGGATATTGCGTATAAGATATTCAATGCCATATCATGCACGCAAAAACTGTTATCTAAAAATTTGATGCACCCGGGTTTTGTAGAAAATTAAAAGTTATTCCATTCAGTTTTGTATGATGGACTTCGTTATCAACCGCAGACGAGAGAAGTCCAAAAGTCGCACGCTCCTCAGAGTTTTAAAGTTTTGTATGGTTTTTAAGTGGTTTCCAGTAGAGTTTTTTATACCTATCGAAAGATCTCGCTTTCAAGTACAGGTATCCGCTTTGACTTTTACAGAATCTCACGACTCAGAGAAGATATCTGCCTTTTTTTGACGATATCAGTGGGCTGATAAGAGCAGTTGCGTAACAACGTAGCAGTTTTCAGTGATTTCTGATGTAAATTTCGCAACCTCTTTACTGATAAGAAATTATCAATAGTACGACTCTCCTGAGCACAGCTCAACATTTTACCATTTCCTGTGTTTGAATTTTATCACAATGAACTTAACCTATAAACAATCGGCCCTGTTTACATCCTCAAACTTTTAAGTGTTGGTTCTTGGCTGACTCTCTCTCCAAAATGGACAAATCGAAATTCCTGGCTGACTACCTCTCCAAAATGGACAAATCGGAAATGAACTCTGAATCCAGTCTCCAACGAAACCTTATATGTACTCATGAATTAGAAATCGCTAATTGTAGTGAATGTATATCACATCCTGCTATCCGTATAAGATGCCAACATAAGGAATTTGCTATAATTTGTCCAAATTGTTACATGAAAATAGAAACTCTTGATAGGAAACGTCCTTTTATCGTTGACTTTATCAGTAAACCCGGAAACAATAGTACCATATCAGATCTTAAGAAAAATTGCTCCCAACTTTGGGACATTTTATGGGAAAAATATCCCGAAATTCACCAGATTGTTGTAATTAATGAGAACGCTTCCACATCTACCGTCTCAACAAAGACAAACCAAAGATCAGAAAGTGAAAAAACCTTTGAAAATCCAAGCCTAAACAAAAATTTAGGATCTGATGTCAAATTTAAATTTAGTAAAAGTTTCAAGTGTCAACATAATAAGGAAATAATCAAATGTAAAAATTGTAACCCTAAATTAATAGAAGATCTAAAGAAAAATAAATGCCTACATATAGTACCAATAGTAGAATGTAACCACTGTATAAATCTTATCCTAGTACTAAAAAATGAGAGAGACAAAACTAAGCTAAAATTTATTAAAGATAATGACTATATCCTTTATTCGGAATACGTTAAATTATACCTAAATAAAAATTCTAAGAAAACCAACTCTAATTCTAAAAGTAAAAATAATAAAACAGACCCAAAAGAAAGTGATAAAAAATCTAATACTGATAATGAGGAAAAATTAAAAACTTCGGCAAAAAATAAAAAAGAAATTTTAGAACCCACTAATCACACAGGAAATAAAAGAGATTTTACCATTTTAGAAATGGAAACAGAAGAAAATGAACCAAAAGAAGACCTAGAACCGAAAGAAATAACCGGAAATAAAAATCCCGCCAGGAAACCTCCACCAATCTTTATCATTAACGAAGAACCCAATGTAATTAAAGAAACATTAAAAGATTATAAGATAGAGTATACCTTAAAAAATGAATTGAACAAACAAATTAAACTTTTGATTAAATCGGAGGGAGATTATAAAACAACACTCCAGAAATTTGTTGATCTGGGAGTGAAGTTTTATACTTTTCAATTCTTTGGCGGAAAAACTTCAAAGCGGCTAATTAGAGGTCTACCTATAAATTATGAAATAGAGAAAATTAAAATCAATCTGGAAAACGTTTTAACTGATATCGAGATAAAAAACATCAGACAACTATATCAGGCGACCTCTAAAAACCCACTCCCTCTTTTCGAGATTAGTTTCAGATCATCGGCTAAAATCATTGAAAAAATCGAAAAAATTAAAAATCTCGACAATTTTGAAATTATTATAGAAAAAATAAGCCCTAAATATTTAGAAGTCCCAATTTGCAAATCATGTCTTAATTATGGACACACTAAACGTTATTGTAAATTAGGAATAATATGTATCATTTGCAACGGCCCCCATTTTAGCACCGAATGTCCCATATCGCTTAAAGCTAAGGAGGAAAACACCAAAATTACACCGATATGCCTTCATTGTAAAGAGAATCATTTTACCACGTGGAAGGGCTGTAAATATTATAAAAAACTAAGGAAAATCAAACTAGAGAACTATAAAAAACAAAATACTGATAGAAATGTAAATAATGAAAAGGAAAATTTAACAAAGGGTAATAATAATAAAGATGTAAATAATAAATTAAAAGATCTGGAACTAAATTTCGAAAAGAAAATTACTTTATTGTACAAGATTATCGAGTCATTAAAGAATGAGGTTACAAATCTCAGCAGTAAATTAGCAAATTGTAAATGTACTTAATTAACACCTGTCCAAAGTAATAATAATCTTGTAAAGTAGGAATTTTATCTCTTGATAAAAATCTCAGTCGAAGGTGTCTTTAATCACCAGTAGTTAAAACGCATTATTCGGTTCTCGCAGTAATCAGATTACAGAGATCGACTAGATTAACTGAATAATTGATTATTTTGTTTTGTTTCTCGGGCCTTTGCCCCAGTTACTAGTAGATGAATATACATATGTACATATATATTTTATATTTACATTTAGTAGTTTAGTAAAGTAGGGGAATTTTTTCCAGTGTAATTTATTACACTGGTTTTTTAACCTAAAATAGTATCTAAACTTTTGAATCTCACTTCAAAATATGTAGTTCCTGTATATATCTTAAAGACAAGTAGTATTAGTACCGTAAGGTAACTTTGTAGTACTCTTTTATTTGTAAAGACGAGTTTTAATTCACTCCAGGTGGGCGAATCGGTAAATGTTCCGGGTCCCGCCATATAACCGTTTCTTTGTTCCATGTATATTTCTTTGTGTATATGTCAATAAAGAACAGTTATAAAACCAAAAAAAAAAAAAAAAAAAAAAAAAAAAAAAGTTTTGTATGATGAGTTGAAAGGACCCTGGCAAAGGATTTTCAATACACCCGGTTGGAGCTGAAAGATCTTCTCTCTCAGGTTCAAGGCAAAAATTAAATTGCTGATTTAACAATTTAATTGCTGAAAAAAGTGACTGCGACGTTTCAACCTAAATTTTATAACAAAAAAAAAATGCTACTTTAACCGCTATTGTAAGCTAATTTAATCACGGGGGTGGTTAAAGTAGAATTTTTTTGTTGTAAAATCTACATTATCAGATAACGGATGTACCATTAGTTTCCCTATGCACATAAGTGTTTTTACGGATGAGCTAAACATTTTAGTTCCCAATTGCAAAATATTGTCCAATTTTTTTATCTTGTAACTTTGGACGTTACATAATTGGCTTTCTTAGCGATGCGTGCCTTAAAATTTTGATGACCATAGAGCGAAATCACGTATCTCCATTGCGATGTTTCAAGATTGCCGCTCCCAATTTAATTTGTTTCCAAAGAGAAACAAGTGAATTTCATAGCTTAACATTTGTACAGAACATTCTTCTGACAGGGAAGGAACACTNGAGAAGTTTGGAAATGGCGTTTAGCGCCTTTTCGCATAAATACGTCCAATTGGCTTTCTTAGCGATGCGTGCCTTAAAATTTTGATGACCATAGAGCGAAATCACGTATCTCCATTGCGATGTTTCAAGATTGCCGCTCCCAATTTAATTTGTTTCCAAAGAGAAACAAGTGAATTTCATAGCTTAACATTTGTACAGAACATTCTTCTGACAGGGAAGGAACACTGAAGAAGTTTTTAAGAAATTACATTGACTCGTTTGCCAAAGGAAAAATGAAGTATGGCAGGAAGTCTACAACGTTGCAAACAGAGATAAGTGGTTTCACACTTCGGCGATGATATGCAACTTCGGACAGGGGGAGGGGGGCCAATTTCGTTGTTAAAATGAAGGAAGATTCCTGTGAACTAAGAGGAGTCTCTGCTTTTCAAAATGTGCAAGAATTAAAAGTTACATTATGGAATAAGCTCATTCCGTAATCGGTTAATACGTCCTCTTAAGGTTTCAATAAAATCAGTAATGACGATGAATGCAAGAATAACTTACCAAAAAAAAGCACCCTCGAGAAACAGTCTTGCATTTCTCGATCTCTAACATGTGTTCTTCAAACTGAAAAGGATCGTTCAAAGGATCTTCTCCCGTTCCATAGTGCATGTCAACCAATTCTATCTGTGAACAAGACAAAAAATCCGATCAGACAAGATAGTCGTAGAAAAAATTAATCAAAAGATAAGTTTTGGTACGAGTTCATCACGTTTCAATGCTTGCACAGTGACGTAAATGGTCTGTTGCATGCAAGAGATATAAACCAGCGAATAGACTTACTAAAATCGCACAAAAATCATGATAGGTGCATCGAAAAAGTCTGAAAATAATATGGAAGTGTAAAAGGTTCTTGTTATGTTTATGATCAAACATCCACTTTGCCTCTTTATGCATCTGCTTTACTTTTTTGTGTAGTGGCTCTCAGCTTTTTCACATATTGATTCGAGCTGTTCGCGCGCATATAAGGTCATGATAAAAAATGTTTCAAAGGCGGTTTCTTGCCTTATTGCCTACTGTTTTTACAGCTCTCACTTCTTATCAGAGCAATATCCTCGCGTTCTTGATCGCCGCGGGCAGTGAGCATGTTCTAAGGGCAAGTACATACGAAGCGCCTTCAATATCTTGCACGCAACACGCACACCCTTAGAGTATCAATAGTTACACCTGCCTAGGTGTTATTATTATCCTACACTGAAAACAATGGTTATGTGGGAAGAGTTCTTATACTGATTGGAAAATCTAAGGTATGAACTGCTCTTACATATCGACGGTGAAAGTCGGCAATCACATAACTCGATTTGCGACGTCGCAGACTTCCTGTCATACTTTATTCTTTAAACGGAAAACTACTCAACGGTAATTCCTTAAAACTGCCGTGATTTTTCTTCTATGTGCGAGGAAAATTCTGCAAAAACTGCAAGGAATCATGTCCATTGGTTCTCCTTTAAAAAAATAACATAGTTGCGGAGATTTTCAGACACCGCAAACGAGTTGTGTGATTGCCGACTTGCACCGTCGATATACGGTTTTTACAGTCGCTACAAGGCTTTCACGACTAGAGCCGAGATGTGATTTAATCATGTCGTGTATGGAAAAACAGGCGTATGTAATTTACTGTTCATACGGTAAGGACGCTGGATCCATACGGCATGGACTCAGAGCCCACTTTTTGTACATAATATTTGTCCGCACTAAAATGGACTCGATCTCTATTTTTAGGTCGGCATAAAATTTTATACAACCTGTATGTGGCTCCGACCCATTCTTTATGAAGCGTGAGTACATTCGTTATTTTTAGTGTATACCATTGGCATTGGTGTGACGTGTTTTGCGATTTATCGATTGATCTACCATTTAAAGCTTTGGAAAAGTATCGATAATCAGGGTGTTCGTAACGAACACCTTATTAATCGATTCTTTACGACAGCTTCAAATGGGGAAATATCGATACTCGATCAATCACGCCTCGCCATTGACCATTGGCATGATGATGTTCTCCTCAAAAAACGTCGCCCCTCTAATGTGGGCATATTTCGATTTCTACGTGAGCCCTGTTCTCCTTATAACTCTAAGCTGTCCAATTCTCACGCGGGAATAGAGATAAACCCTTACGTTAGAAGATCGACAAGAATAGGGCACGAGAGTTAGGTCCAAAACCAAGCCAATAAACTACTCGTATTCTATTCTATCTATCTATTAAATTATAGTTAAATAAATTATATATTTTTTTTAGTTATTAATGAATGATTTTTCATTCCAGCATCAATTTTTGACATTTCAATGATAAATTATGATAAAGAACTGTATCAATCGGTTATTAATTTCCACGACGGCAGCAGCGGTCTCCCTATGAGTGGCAGTTTGCATAAATTAAAGGAGCGAAATACCTCGGCGAGCTGATATCGGGTGTAAACGGAGGGGGGGGGGGGG